GCACATTCACACTAATATGCTCATTGACTCTCCATAAGAACCTAGTGAGGGAAACAACACAGGGATTATACCATTATTTTTATTGCTCAGGTGGGAAAAAGGAATAGAGGAGGCAGCCAAGGGGCAAAGGGAGAACTTTTGACTTGGATTCTGTACAGTGCAGGGCTAGGTTTGAGCCACATTTTAAGGAGTTCAAAGATTATAAATCTTTGGCAAGTATCATAAAGAAGAGTATTTAAAAGAGTTACAAGGAAGATAGGAAAACACCCATATGGAACTTGCCCATCTTGCCTCTTAGATTTTTTTCCTTCCTCCAGGTCACAATTCCCTTTTCTTTTTTCCCTTTATGAGCCATTATTTCCAGATAAGGGGCCCAGATTTTATGATGGTACCCTTAAGTATTCTGGTTGTTTTTGACAGGGGAAAGTAAAAAGGTTGTATTGCTCATTAAAGAATCGTAATTGGTTTGTAAAAATACAGATAGGGCCCATGAATGTTTATTTTCTAAAATCTAGACACTAGATTTATTATAATCAACAGTAATAATGTATGATAACTGCTAATATTTATTGAGCACTAATTCCACTCTAGGAATTCTGAAAAGTGCTTATTCATGGTTAACTGTAAGAGGTGTAATTATATCTCCATTTAACAGATATAGAAAGTCGTGCCTAAAGACACACTGATATTAAGCAAAGTGACAGAGCAAGGATTCAAAGATAGCAGTCTGGTTCCCCAGCCTGTTTGCAATGCCTCTGTTGTGCAGCCTCTATAGATCTGCCTCTACCTGCTGTTTTAATTTTTTTTTAAAGGAACTACTCTACATTATTGTCTCATATGATTTTTTACACAACTTTTAAACACACTTTCTTTAAACTTCAACCTACCTGTAAGTAGGGAATTTTTTTTTTTGTCATTAGTTTTAGTGTAATTCTTAAACCCTACCGAATCTTTCGTTTTGACCTGGTGTACCTGTCTGCAAAACCAAAATGAACACTCACTGTGCTCCTATATTTAACATACCAACTTTCTCTGTAGGTCTGTGTTCCCTTCTCCTAAGTCACATTTAGATCAGAGTTACACTGAACAGGTCTTGCTTTCAAAAATGTTTCTAGAGTCTTCTTCAACATGAACATTTCAAGGCTCTATGATGGGACCATGACCTCCACAACTCCAATAGAATTGCTCTCCAGGATGTAGCTGTTTAATCAAGAACGACTCTACCAAAATCTCCTGGAGGTCACAGCTCATTACCTGACCAGAAAGAGCATGAAGGATTCCACCAATTCCTTTGGAGGAAATGTGAGACCCTGGAATTTATTTCTTCATTTGTTTTTGCCTCTTAGGTGTGCTTAATTTTTTTTTAATAAAAAAAGTATCATGAAAGTATATAATGCACAGATACATCAGACTATGTTCACAACTATATTTAAAAGACTTGATTTGAGTCATTCATCTGCTGTTAACACTTATGCATCTTCAGTTGTGCTATAAATATTCCACATGAGTATGTTTTAACATGAATTCCTTCTTCTTTACTACAGTATGAACATCACTAAATTTCATGTCACTTAATTTTCACTTTACAGAATCAATGTTTTTATTTGTTTCTTTGTTTACTCTTGAAACAATTTCCAACAAGTGACTATATAGTAAACAGCTTTGTCCCTCTCCACAAAAGGTTTTTTTTTTTGTTTTTTCCCCTATCTCTTTGTTTTCTCATCATCTTCTGGAGACATTTTTTTTTGGTTCTGTTGTTTCTTGTATGGACACAAATCCACGTCAAGAACTCACACAGTGATAGATGGTCATAGAAGGACTAATGTGGATTACAGAACTCATTTATAGTCATCTATAAAATGGGTGAAATTTCACTTATGTGAAATAATTCCCAAGGCCATACAGTTAATTCTGTGGCATAAAGCTGCATAAAAGGAATGAAAAGTCAGCTGCCAATGGCTACCAATAACTCATAAGCCAGTGGTTTTTTTTTTTTTTTCTTTTTAGATGGGGTCTTACTATGTTGCCAATGCCAGCCTGGAACTTGGGATCTTGAGGAGTTAGGATCGCAGGTATGCGTCACTGTACTAACCAGTGCTCCTTTTGAAAATAAACTTCTCAATTTTAGAATCATTTTAGAGGATAATTATGAATATAGTACATAGAATTCCTATATTCTGCATCTCCAATTTCCCCTCTAATTACTGCATTTTATTAATTAGTATGGCACATTTGTTATAAATAATGAACATATACTGATACAGAATTAACTAAAGTCTCCATTTTGTTCAGATTTCCTTAGTTTTTACTAAATATCCATTTCCTGTTCCAATCTCATCTCTATACCATTAGTTGTTACATCTCCATAGACTCCTCTTGACTGGGCCACTTTCTACTCTCCTTAATAAATGACCTTCACAGTTTTGAGGCGTACTCTCAGATATTTTGCAACATCTTCTCTATTGAGATGAGTTTCATGTTTTTCTCTAGTCTCAACTAGATTTGCAAGTTTTTGTGGAGGAAGGCTATAAAGTACCATTTTTATCACATCACATCAAGGCTAAATATCAATATGATTTATCACTGTTGATGTTGACCTTGATCCAGTGGCTAAGGTAATATTGGCTAGATTTCTCCACTGTGAATCTACTCTCTCCATGGATCTCTTCATACTGTACTCTTTGGAAGGAAGTTGCTATGTGGAGCCCACACTTAAGGAATTGGGAGATTTGTTGATGTATACCTTCTTCAGGAAGAAGTGTCTACATTATTTGGGGTCTTCTGCACAGGAGATTTGTTTGTTTTTCTCCCATTTGTCTTGTCAATCATTTATATCAATTTGGAACTAATGATTATACTCTGGGTTATAACTCAAATTACATTTTAATTATTTGATTGCTCAAATTTCCTAGCTTAGGCCACTGAGAATTCTTTACATTGTGTCCCTCTGATGTAACCTCCATCATTGCAGTGTTTGTGAACGTTTCCTTACTTTCTGTCAGGACATGATGTTTCAGATTCCTTTTGCTACAGCTGTTTTTGAACATTAGCTATTTTTTCAAGGACCTCTTGTTCATTTTACTGGACTCTGGAGTCCAAGTTCTGGGTGCTATGTGTGCTTGTTGCCCCTGGGGGTCATCACTTCTAGATTCAACAAACAAACAAAAAAGAAAGTGAGTACACAATCCAAGCATACCCAGGGCCTTTCACCTACAATATTGTTATATGTAAACAGTTCTATTCCTATTAAGCGAAAGAGAAGTCCACAGTGATGTCTAAACTCTAATTATTACAGGATTATTTTAGCCTTCTTCCTTCCCTTGTCTCTTACTCTAACAATGAGAACTTGGCTCCTATCACCCATCACCCATTTATTTAATTTCAATATACATGTATAGTAATTGTGAATTGCTAACCTGTAGAGAAAAGCTTTACCAACTAGAGTACAATGCTAATTTGTAGTTCTGTTTTTTCTTTATTTTTATCAATCCTGCTCATTTCTGAAGTTAGTTAGATTGGTATTTCCCCCTTCTCCTTTCAGTAATGTTTTTTTTTTTTATTTACAGTGATGATTTTATAAGTTTCCTTTCTATTTTGTAAGGTTATGATGAGCTAAACGATTTTTTTTAAAAAATCTTATTTTCAGGTTCACTTTTTGTTTTTGCTGTAAAGTTAGGTTTTGATTTATATACACACAGTTATGCATGTACCATTAAAGTATTATACAGAACAGTTTTGTTGCTTCTCAGAAAACATGCTTTATTTCACCAATTCAATTTCCATGATCTTGAATCATGACAATCACTAATGTTTATAATCTTTATAGTTTTATATTTTGCAGAACATGATATAAATGGAATCACACACATGTAGTCCTTTCAAACAGGCTTCTTTTAGCAATATGCATTTAAGATTTACTCACGCTCCCAGTATCCTTTGAGTTCATTTTTTTCTTTCCTTTTTTTCCTGAATAGTTATTCATTCTATGAATCTAATACTGCCTGCTTTTCCATTCACCCAGTGAAGGGCATTTTTGATTGCTTCTAGTTTTGTTGAAAAGCAAAGCTGCTCTTAACATTTGCACATAGGATTTGGTATAGAAATATATTTTAAAATCAATTGATAAATATATGGATCATGACTTATGATTTTTAAAAATGAAAAACCCCACTCCAAGGATCTAGAGGTTTGATGTGCCTCAAGTATGAAGATGTGAGTCATATTCCATCCAGTTTTAAATTTTAAGTTTTTTTTTTACTGTGTTCTAATTCTTTGAAAATCAATACATATGCTGAAATATATGATTAAAAGGGACACCTTCAGCCTTGATCATATACATTGTGATAACAGAATTTAAAGCAAAAGCTAATTTGTTATGATGATCAACTTAAAATTGCTGACTACCTGGTTATATTTACCCCACAAATTGTTTCATTATGGTTGAGTAAGTTTTGTGATTTCTGCTCATGGCATCTTAATTTCTGGACAAATTTATAAGTCATGAATTATTGCCCAAGAATTCTGTGAAAAGCCAAATGTTAAAATAAGTGACTACTAATTTGTAACACTTTTGTATTTAGAAAATTAGTTCTTTGGTTTAACTTATTCTTTTTTATGGTTATTTTTAACTCTAATCAAGAATCTGTTGAAATTTTCATATAGGATAAAGAATGGCATTCATTTTTTTCCCTCTCAATAACAGTAGGAGGCATTTTCCACCCCAGCTTGGAGCAATCTAGCTTCCTCCTGCCACTCCAGTTTTATGCTCTCATGGTGAGCTAACCTCCAACTTACAACAGAAAAAGTGTGCTGAAATAACCTTGCCAAGCTTTGTTATGAAGTTTAGTGCTTAAGAAAAATAAACTACTCCCTAAGGGATTGGTGCTGTTTTAAAGATTTGAAATAAACCTGTGGTGAACCATAATTATTAAATTAAAAAAGTGTATATATGAGAGAGAATTATATATAGTTTGGAAAGGCATATGAAAACAAATACTTACAGGCACATCAACATATTTTGCAGCTGCTTTTACCTTAAATGGGGGGGGAAAAGAGATATTTATGAGAATTATATTCTTAACTACTATATAAGTATGATAAGAGTTGAGAGACAACAGAAGAGAACTCATTCCAATACTTACAGTGAAAGACAGAATGGATGAAAAGAAAGTGCCTTCATCATACCTTGACAGCTTAGACAACACTCCTTCCAACACTGAAACAAACTGTAATACAGAATACAGAGAGTAGTTAGAATGTTTCTGAGCATGCAATCTAATAGCAGTGCAAACAATTCCTGAATCAACTTCTCCCCAGCTACAAAAATCTACAAAGACTCAGCTGACAGCTGAGGTCAAGCTAGCTTGCATTACTTACTCTTCATTTCTGAACATGAACTTTAAGGTCCTTTCCCATGGCTGTAAATAATACATCATTTAAAAAAATAATGTGGAATAGGAGTATAGTCTCAATACATATACGATCATTTAAGTTACTGATAAATAAGATTAGGTTCATGAAATTATTCCTTAAAACATTTTTCAAGTGGAACACAGGAGCTCACAAACAGTGAAGGCCAAGATTAATCAAATTCCTTTCCTTTATGTATTATTTGACCATTTCTCTACTTTTTCTTACATACGCACAGAAGATTGAATAAAATAAGAACAGAAAGTGAAAGAGAGGTGTGATGTTCAAGGCTCTCATAATGACACAAGTCATTAATGGGCATTTGTCAAGCAGCTCTAACTGGGATACTTAAGAATGATTCCTGCTTCTAGAAGATTATTCAGCAGTCTTTGAGCTAAAACAGATACACTGAAAGGCAAAGTGGAAAGAGCATTAGACTGAAAATATATAACCCAATTCTATCTCTAATCTCTATGTGGGCTCAGTCTGATCACCATACATTCCAGGCCTCAGTTCTTTCAAATCAATTAAATGTGTATGTTGGAGGGAGGAAGGGAAAGAGTCAGGAATTCAAATTATTCTCAAAAGCATCTTGCATTTCTAAAATTTTTTATTCCTTTTCTCTCTCTCTTTATTTATTTATTCATTTGGTTGCAGTGCTGGGTATTGAACCCAGGGCCTCCCACATGCTAGGCAAGCATTCTACCACAGAGCTACACCTTCCACTCTTTTCATTTTGAGACAGGGTCTGCCTAAATTGCTCAGTGTAGCCTTAAATGTGAGTTATTCTGGTCTCATCCTTCTGGCTAGAATTACAGGTATAAGCAAACATGCCTGAAGTTAAAATTTTATATTTGTATGAAATGAAAAAAGCTTACTCTATTGGAAAAATGTGGGAAATTTTACTTTATTAAAGAAGATCAATGAATAGGTGAAACTAATAAGATACACTGTCCTACATATTTCCTCTTTTGAACTAAAATAATATGCACTATTGACAAATTACATACACTCCCAAAGGGGAAATGCTGACAAGGTTTTTTAAATACGAAAAGGGAAATTAACAAAGGCTGGTTTTTGTTCACATAGCAGCTTCTTCAACAAAGTGATAATAGTTCTAGGGACACAGCTTATTGGTCTCTAGTGACCGAAGAGCTCATTGTGAGTGCACAGGAGATAATCTTTTCTCTATGGCTGATCAATTACTGCAAAATAGTTTATGCAAAAGAAACAAAAACTTCCCTATAGGTTTCTCCATCACATCATTTGCGACATGATGTAAGAACACAGAAACAAAATCATGCAAATAGCTGACTAAAGTTTTAAAGTCTTATTTTTAAAAGAAGGAGAATTGTATTCATTTGAATAGTTATCCTATGGGATGTCAACAGCAAAAAACACAAAATTATAAATTGCTCATATCTGAAAGTCAAATTAGCACTTTCTTCCTGCCCATTAGGATTTCTCACCAATCATGACTGCCTAACTCAACTTGATGTGGTTTGCAAGGACCCAGAAGACCAATACTCCAGGGCTATGTCAGACCAGGGGAAGGGAATTCCAAACTTAATGGCCCTCTGTGGAAAATGCCTCATCTCTTGTAACTCAAATCTTGAGAGCAAGTGTGTGCTGGGTGATGTCACTTGGAGGAGAGCGACAATTGCTATGGTTACTAGACAACCTTATGCATCAGAGGCTCTGGGTGCCTTCTAGTGAACCTGGATGCACATCTGTGAAAGATGCTGAGGGACAAGGCAGTGAAGAGGCAAGAATCCTGTGAATACCTTTTGAAGGTGTGGGTTCAAGTTGGAGCTCTGCTACCATCTGGTTATAAGATGGAATCAAGTCATTTCATTTCTCCTGCTTTCTTGCACTCGTCAGTAAAATGGGGAAAAGATAGCTATCCTGCTCACCAGGATAAACCATCTTATAAAAATAGTGTGAAGCTCAGGGGTGGTGTTTTAAGATAAATAAAATGCCAAATATTAAAGAAATTTAAAGAATTATTGTTATTGATGTGATAATAATAACTATCCATTATTTGTCTGAAAATGTAACTATATTAAATCATAATTATGATGGCTTAGTGACAACATGTAAAAATGAGTTTGATTCTTACCTAATGCATCTAATTCAATGAAATATGTGGAGATATCTAGGGTGATAGGACTGAATTGAGGCTGTTAGAAGGTCATTGGAATCCCACCTGTTTGAAGGTCATTGGTGGACAATAGGGAAGAAAGCCTTTGAATGCAGGTGATCATGATCCCACATTATCTACCATTACACTACAGAATTGTAAGGAATAAATGAGGTGATCTATGTTAAGTGCTCAGTGAATGTCACTGGGTTATAATTATTATGGAGTACCTAAGATAGGAAATAAAAACAGAGGACTCTTAGATCTTTTCCTTCAGGAACATACAAACTAGTGGAAGAGACAGATATGAGCACAACTGGGTATTACACAAGGCAGAAGTTCTATGGGCCACAGCAGAAAGGTGCACAGTGTGACTGAATTGTAGGAGGGAAAGAGGGGCTTTGACCAGAGGATCTGGAGTGAACTTTCTTTATAAGGTGGCACAGGAATTAAGCTGCAGGATATCAGAAATGGAGCTGATAAAATGACAGGAAGCCTACTGGCAGATGCATTTAGGGCAGAAGTGTCTCCATAGAGGCATCTGGCAGCCTGTCTAGCTGGACTTCTCTTTACAGTACGAGCGTCATTAGGTTACATCTCTACAAGTCCTGTGTGTGGGATTGTGGTCTGCTGCAACCAAACCACAATAATCTTTGTTTCCATTTCAAAAATAGCAGAAGCTTCTTTTTGAGTTCTTCCCTATCCCAAATGGTCTCCTGGGAGGTAAAATACTGTAGGGACTCTCAGTGCTTACATGGCCGTGAACAGCCACTGCACCTCTGGGATCAACCAGGTGAGCCATACAGTTCTTACAGAAGGTTTTCTTTGTAAGATATTTGTTGAGGCCCAGGTGGTGGAAAAGCTACTTTCAAAACCAAACTCTATTAACAACAAGATTAATAATGACATATTTTTCATTTGGGTTTTAATTGCACAAAACAGCAAGATTCCAACGAAATCAAGGTAAATGCTGGGTTTCGTTGCTGAATCTTTAACTGCTTCCTGTGAACTTTCTCTGAACAGCTCAGGGAGTATATAAATACTTATGGGTTTGCCTTGTGCTCTCTGTTCTCCTGAGGGTGTTGGGTTGGAATGAAACATTGCAATCTCTTTGTTTCCCTACTCTTTATTGTGTATGCTATGTACTGGGTTTGTTTGAATAATATTTAACACCTAGAGTCTGTTTGGGCAATTACCAACTTTGCCTCATGATACATACTCTCAAGGAAATTAAAGATGAAAGCACTTTAAAATGACTGTAGGTAGAATGAATCATGATGAGGGCCACAAGGCATGTTGTTTTAAATTTCTTGTTGAATTTTAAGATGACATAAGAATGATTTTAATAGAATATAAGGTTTGGGTGGAAGATAGAAGATAAATTCTAAGAAGCAATGGGTAGAAGTCCAGCTATAGACTGCTGGGTTTAAAACCAAGTTATTGCTATTTTAGCCATGACATTTCATGAAGTAAACAAGGGATAAATGCACTGGAAGTTATACAGACTTTCACAGAAAAGACAGTTTTCCATGATACAACCTATCATGAAAAACTAGGTATTTGTTTGACAGGGGGAGAGGATAAGATTGACGATACCTATTAGCTGATGTTTTGATTTTGTTTATTAAGATGAGGGCTAACTAATATTATTAAAATTCCACATGGATCCTGAATATCACAGACTGGAAGTAAACAGGGTTTCTTTCATGAATAAGATTTTTTTTTTTTTTAAATACTAGGGATTGAACCTAGGACCTCATTTGTGCTGGCCAGGTAAAACAGCACACCTAGTCCAGATGTTGGTAAATTCTCCACAATGTCTACTCTCATTGTTCCTTTCCCTCTGTTTTCCCCAATGCAGTGATCTATCTTACTTTCTATTTCCTGTCTATGAATGGCTCTGAATAGCGTGTGTCTTTCCTTTTAAGCACATACTTGGATTTGAACAGGTGTTTTCTGAATATGCAGCCTTGACCTAAACAAGTAAATTTAATCAAATTAATTTACCTAGGCTGAGTTGGCAAGATATTTTCATTAAGTCATCTGGGAAATCAGGTCAAATTTGTTCTCTGTTGTTATTTTTAAGAGGAATTCGGGGGAAAATATTCTACGTTATGAGAAAGAATATGTATGTGTAAGTATATATATATATACTTACATATATATATATATATATCTCAAAGTATCTGAAGTACCTGTAGGTATATGCTCAGTGAAAAGTGTTTATTTCTTCCTAATCCTTTTTTTTATTTTTGCAGTAAATGAGGATTTAGGAAGTTTATCATTATTGAGATCTTACCATTCAAGTTCAGAATTGATAGTTCCGTATTACAGGAATACATTATGAGAATTGTCATGTTTTGTCTTGGCTCTGCTAATAATTTGCACTGACCATTTCTTTTTTTTTTTTTTTTTAAAGAGAGAGTGAGAGAGGGGAGAGAGAGAGAGAATTTTTTTAATATTTATTTCTTAGTTCTCGGCGGACACAACATCTTTGTTGGTATGTGGTGCTGAGGATCGAACCCGGACCGCACGCATGCCAGGCGAGCACGCTACCGCTTGAGCCACATCCCCAGCCCTGCACTGACCATTTCTAACTCTCAGTCCTCCAGTGTTTTTCCAGGATCCTCATCACTACACACAATGAATTCCATTCTCATCTTCCTACCTTACAGT